ATGGCCACCAACAGCCATAACCTTAACTGTGAGTTCCATTGTAAGAAGTGTCCGTAAACATTTTGTTCAGTAACCATGTGTCATTTTTCATTCATATTAGTTATATTATAAAACAGCACAAGAAGTGATAGGTTCTTTTGTATCATTCTCTTGTCGTAAATATAAACGCTGCTGATGACATAAGAGACATCGCAAATAGCACGATATTGCCTCCATTTAGTAGGCATTACTTAGACTACAAATGACAAATGGCAATATTGTGTTTGAGGGAGAGCTCTGAAGTTAATGGGAAGTTTGAGACGCTTTTTTTATCCACAGGCGTTAATGACATCGACCCTGAAAGTGCTGTTCATGCAACCGCTGCTGAGGCGCGCCCCTGGGTCACAGCTGGGTCCTTTTGCAGCGACAGCATGGGATACGATGCCGTCCAAATATCCGTCGCGCGAGATGTAGATCACGTAATACCGAGTGAAATACCAAATTATCGAGCCGTTCCAATACCAATAAGGTCGGGAGCTTATCCCATAATAGAACACGGCAGTGTTCCTTCCTCTTTCGTGGAACAGGGTAGTCTCCCCTTATTTGGCCTCCCGGAGTTAGATCCCAGCCCACTACACAGCACGTTGGAGCGGCGTGGGAACCAACTCCATGGAATTCCTCATCGAGATGCCGGTCCAGTTATGGATCCACCGAGAGCTGCTTGGATCCCAATACAAGATCCGAACTCGCAAGAACAAAGTTCTGATGTTTTGCACTTTGGTCCTATTGAAAAAGGAGAGACGGCAAGCCATGACCTTTATGCCGGTCATGTAAAAAGGGCTATGAGTCAGACAGGCAAAGCAGAACTAAGTGGTGCTGTAAATCATGGCACTGATTATGTCAGGCCTTCGTTTTTCAATCAGAACGATGCAGTAAACCACGTTGGTTGTACAGACAAAAGGGATGTATCAGTGAGTACAGCAAGTACGGCTGGGTATGTCCGTGAAGAGGACATGGCCTCTGTTGTCAAGCTCCTGCAGGACGCCATCCCCAAGCTCACCAGCACGGTGTGCATGCAGTGTGCTCCATCTCCCGCCGCGAAATACTTGCAGAAAGACTTGCCCCAACCCAGCAAGGCGACCTGATGTCCTCAGGAACCGCAGCAACCTCTCCACCGCGGGCTTTCACGTCCGAGGATAAGAACACACCCGCTTTGTCCCCCGTCCTGATCGTCGGCCACCACCTCCCCAGCGTGCCCATCATCGCCATTGAGCCGTCGACTTCTCTGGGACGATCGCCCCGCGTCTGGCACAGCGGTTCCTGCTTCTTCCTGCCGCCCACGGAGGAAAGGACACCTATGTTAGGGAGCTTCGCAAGGTGTTGTATAAATACATAACACTTCTAATGTATAAAGCGACGTTTTGCTTGTAGCCTACATATCATAACAAATTTAATTTGGCAGAGCTGAAAACGGGAATTCAAACAACGCCGCGACAGCGACCCACGCTGACCAAAACGAAATGTTACCCCCAAATCGGCTATTCAAATTCTCGACGGAACAAATAATGATCCTAATCTCCATGCTTCTGGTCGATTTCTCATCCTTCGCTTCCATGTCCATCATGGCGCCCTTTTTCCCACAACAGGTTGGTTTATCCCGGGACTATTATGGAGAAAAACAGTTACATCGGTCAAACTAGAGAAATATATATA